ACCGTGTAGGATATAAGAGGTCATTGAGGGCAACGCATCTAAGAGGTTCGAAGCAGCATGATCCTCATAATGGATTCGTGGGGTTGCATTTCCCATGGAGTGACCGCAAGGTGGTCCATCGAGTTTCTCAGCTCCCTATGCGCCGGGATCTCTATTGGCACTAGGCTCCCATGGCGACCCGTGGGCCTGTACACCTGCTTGCGCGATTACCGCCCCGCTGGAAACTTTCTCTCTCTCCCTCTCGCTTCCACGCACTCGCTCTGCTTCTCTCAGGCATCCGCGCCGGCAATCCTTGCCTGCAGTTAATCTGAGTCCGCGGCCGAACGAAAGAAATCACGGCGGAGGGAAAAAGCGACGGCGGTTTGACCCGCGAGACCGTAGAGATCGATAACGGCCGCTAATTAATTCGTGTTCCTAGAACGATAATTGGAGTACCTATCCGTCGATCGGATCCTTTTCTACTTTCCCACGTAATGCATCGCGCCGTCACCCACCACGTGTGCGCTCCGATGGCACTCTCCGGTGTATCCCGGACGTCGCCGCCGCCGCCGCCGTCGCCGCCGGGCCGCCGAGCGTCCCATCTACGGTCTCCGCGTGCGGGAGAGACGCCGATCCTTTCTCACGTGTCACCGACGTAGTAAATTTCATTCCTCGTGCGCCGCGCTCGCGTTCATCTCATGTGAAACTCTGCCATTACCGCCGTGGGTGCATCGCTCCTTGCATTCGCGCCGCCGCCGACTATCCGACTATGTATTCCATGTGGATCACGATTTGCCTGCGCCACCGGCTAGCTAGACACGCGGTAATAGCGGCCGATCCACGCCCCACTTTCGATACCACGACCCACCTACATCGATATCGCGTGTGTGTATGCTGTCGGAGTGTCATATCGAATTCTAAAAATTTTCCTTGTGATCTCTCTAGAAATTTTATCGCACACGTTTCACTGTGTGCTTAATTTGTTATAACATCGACTAGAAACTAATTAGAAAATAATTATTATTTTTGTTTAAAATTTATAGTTATAAGAATCAAGTATTGTTAATTATTATTCATGATTTTATAATCGATGTAAAATCTTGTAGCGCTTTCCATTGACAAGCCGACGGAGTACCAGCGACAATGGCAACGAAAAGCTTCGCGACGGCTGTCTCTAGTTCTCACGAGGTTACGAGAAAGCGATTGCCTCTTTCTCTCTCTTTCTCCTTACTCCCTTTCTCTCTTTCACTTTCCCGATCCATCTTTCTTCGTGCTCCTTCTACGGTCTCTCCTCATCTATTCAGTCAACGATTGCAGATATTGCCGTACGTTTAAGTCACACGCCCCGGGATATTTCCGGACTTTACAGGAACAATTATAATAGCGTAGTAGCCGAAAGACGTGTGAAATTTTATTTGGCGCGATCAGACGGTCAATAAAGCGTGAAAATTTGACGAACTTAATCGCTCGATTGCGGTATCGCGTAAACCGCTTCTACCAATATCCGCCGCACTCTCGTTCATTCACTTCTTCTTTTCCTTCTCCTCATCCTCCCTCACATCTTTTTTTCGTTTTTCTCGTAGCCTTCTCATCCGTAAGTTCTCCACCCGATCGTATCTTCGGCGGGCCTTCCAACGCAGATTATAAACCGCCGGGATTTATGTCAATTCCTGGAATCGAGCCCAGAAAGAAAGGGCGAGAACGCCACGATGTTCTTCTTTCGCCTCCTCGCAATTCTTACCACCCCCTCGTTTCTTTCGCGCACCGATGCGTCGTTGGATTATCGCGGGAGGCCGATAAATCAAGTTCGCGCGAACAGATACGAGATGGATATCGGTGAGCGCCTTCGAGCGTTTTCAACACGAGAATGTATACACGCGTATATCCAAGCATTTTTTTAAGAGCCTGATTGTATCAACCATCTGTATTGAGAAAATGAATTTGCTGCTTCTCTGTTTGAATGAATATTTTGAGAGATTTTCACAATTTTTATAAGAGAAATCTGACATATTGATGATTGATACTTGATATTACATATTAAACGTCGCTGTAAAATTTGATACTTATAGATATTGCGAGTTACATGATCTGACACGCTTTTCAATTGGAAAATTCGGAGCATCATTAGATTATGAGCGGCTATCTATAATAGATCGATGTTCCATGAAATTCGATACAAAATGAACAGACATCCACGAATCCTACGCCGGAACTTCGTGAGTGAATCCTTCTACGTGGTCTCTCACGAGTTTGAACGCGTCCGGGGAGCGCAACAGCCGAGAAAATCTTCCCACAAAAAGTAACAGGTAGGTATCCTATTTCCATTGAGCGACAGGTAGAGCTCTATGCCGTACCTTCGCTCGTCAATACCCGTCTCACCCGTGAAAGGGCATCGTTCGGAAGGAAGGAATGGACCCGAAAATAGATTAATATATGCAAAAGTTCTATTGATCGACGATTTTTTCCCACCGGAACAAGTGAACCTACTGAACGATTCCTTCTAGAAGACTCCTATTTCACCTGCTACTCATCCTTCCTCTTTCTTTCACAAGTTTTTATAAACCCTGAGAGATTTAAACCACACGTATCTTTTCCCAGGACAAGGAATGACTATGAGAAACTATATATCTATGGCGAAAGTATTTCAATAACTCTCATTAGTTCTTATTCAAATCGATTATTATTCGTTATAAAAAAATTTGCGATATGATATGATTATTTTTTGCAATGTAATGATTTAATCTATGCCAAAGGAGGCAGCTATCAGATTGCTCAAGAGCTCGCTTGCGAATTTAAGTTTGTATTATATCTCGAGGACATCAAGAGCGCGGCTCTTCTCCTCAGGGGTCGCGATTGGAACAGCCGAAACCGGCAAGCCGGTCGGTTGCTTTATTTTATGGTTTTTCAAGACAATGTTCTCGCCGACCGTTTCTGCTCGCGGGAGCCCTCCGATATGGGCCGTACGCGTACACGGGATCCATTGTCTTCGGCAATTCGCTGCGCGATGCGGTGCGACCCTATCGACCTGGACGCTACTTTATTCCCGCATTAAAACGGATCCCCGGCCGAGAACGCTACGGAAATTTCGTTCCGAAATTCATTATGCGATCGTGCTGTGGACCACGTGAGCGAACATCGCTTCGCCGCGCTCGCACCTTGTTGACTTTTTTAACGCCGAGTTTGCGCGCTTTATTATGACGGCCGGAGTACACGCGAACGTGTACGCGCCGCTGTTTATCGCTTTGGAGTCCCGCACCTGTGCTCATGTGAGAAGGCACAATGTTTTAAACGAAGGGACGAGCTTGCAAATATGACGATTTTTTTAATTTATAGGGATAATTATTTCTTTCTTGCGTGTAAAGATGCAAGTTCAAACAAAAAAAATATGACATGATATAACATTTTATTAATATACTTATTTCTCGAGATAGCACCGATAATTTTCTTCAAGACAGAAATAACTGGTTGTTTGGTTATAAAGAAGATATCGCTTTGATTAAATGCACGCACACACACAATAAGAAAAAGAAACGAGTCAATTATATATATATATCAATTATTATATACGCAATTATATCATTAATTACGGCTTTTTCAGCGCACCGAATTGCGCATCTAAAACCATACTTTGATAATTCGCTTTCTTGCAAAAGCATTTAATAATTATATCTATTAATAAAATTAAGTGAAAGATATATGCATGTATATTGCAATTATATTAAATATTATACTCAAAATCTTTAATATTTTAATTCCAAAATTTTGTACTTTAAATATAAAAAATTAAGTGTAATAGCAGCATATACAAAATTTGCAATTTTTTATTCTTACAATAGAAGGTAAATGATTTTATGTTTTATTATTTATTTGTAAAAATATGAATAAAAAACGAAACTAATTGTCAAAGTGCAGTTATAAATAATTATGGTAAATATTAGCAAATGAAAAAGGCAGCAGAAAATATTAATATTTTATATAATTGCGCTAGTATAATGAGTAAATTCACTCACCGGTTGTTGTACTACAGCTAAATGTATGTTTTCCTAGCTGCACCTGAAAGAATTAATTAGTTAGTTCTTGGAGAATATAAATATCTTAATAAATATTTTATAAATTTGCAAGGTATATGTATTCATTATTATAAGATTATGTACATATTTATACAATAAACAAATAATTATACTTACAGGCTATAGTATTATACGTAATTTGCTCCACTTGCTACAGATCCCGCATTAGATTCCTTCACATCCTTCACTATCGAAGAATCAATAAATATCGAAAACCCGCATTTCTTGTTAATTACCCACACAACCGAACAAAAATCGACCCGCACATTTCTCATACACGCGAAAATCGCGGATTTACATTGAGAATTTGCTACGCAGCGGTATGCGCATTTCGTACCGTAACACATTCATGCACATAATTATCCCGACTATCATAACACATTCCGCGATTAGATATTGTATACACACACGTAACAAACAAGGCGAACGACAACCGTCTTGGCGATCGCGTGAATGTTGTCAGATACGAAATGTAAGCAATTACATTTTATTTGTTTAAATTCTAACCGGCTGAAATTTTAACACGCTACATTTAATAAAAGATATACTAATACTTAGATTTTTTGCGAATATAGAGATTATTAAGCAAATTTATAGTTTCAAAATCCATATATTTACCGAGATTATAACCTATTTGGATTCGCGAACCGACCGCCAGACTATTGACGTTATTATTAGCAAACATTCGCGGCAAATCATAGGTTCTGATAAACGCCCGTTACTTTAATCAACACTCCCGACGGAAATTCGCAATCATTATGCATTTATATTATGCGATTAATAGGATGAAATGCATAATCACACAATTTACATTTCGCGAAGCATTGGTGCCGTAACGAATCCAACCGGAAATAACTCGTAAGGTAACGCTATACCGTACCGACCGCTAGGTGCGCTGCGCTGCTCTACCGACGCTACTAGTAACTAAACTTTCTTTCCGGGTGGATTTGCGCACTGTGCAGAACGTAAGTTGTTTAATTGTACATTTTTCTGTAGTAATCGCGTGATAAAAGTGCTTAATGATTGCGAACTTTTGTCGGGAGTGCCGATTAAAGTAACGGGCGATTGTCAAAACATATGAATTACCGTAAATATTTTCAATTAGCCACGTGAATTGTTTCGCGACCGGATCGTAGATTCAAAGAGGTTATAATCTCAGTGAGTATAATTTGATATGAAATTTTGATATCACAAATACATAAAATAATTCCTACATTCGTTTATAAGGATCTAAACGTGGTATACTTTTAACTAAATCTAACATTGAAATTTTAGGTAATCTGAATTAAAATAAATAGCGGTTAGCTGTGTATGTTTCGTACGTAATAATATTCAATCACCAAACGGTCGTCGTTCATCTCGCTTGCTCTAAGTGCATCTACAGGGTCGAATCTTCGATGGAACTGATGCGAAGTAGACCGAGGCAAATTCTACAACAAGTGGAGCAAATCATCATACATTTGTTGGTGATTATAATTATTTGTTCATTATTTAAATATATACATAATTGTAATAACGCAAACATACGCAATTACAATTTAATTTATTAAATATTTATGACCAAATGTTTGATAATATTTATTAAAATATATATTAAAACATTTATTGAATATTAGATTGAAAGCCAAATAATAATTACGATGCATACAATGTATAATATTTTACAGTAACTAAAATTTATATTGATTTTTTCAGATGTAACTAAAGGTGTATTTAGCTGAAGAAGTACAACAAATCGGTGAGTCGGCTTATTTATTATATTTACATAAATTATACAAAGATATTGATGTCACTCTCTTTTTACTTGTTAATATTTACTATAACTACTGAAAGATCGCGCTTTGGCAAACGTATAACGAGTTATCTAATTTATTAAGATTGCAAAGAATAGACAATCAGTACTCTATATTTCTGGAAGAGGTTAACTGAGGATAAAATAAAATATTAAACGTGTTCGTTCACGCTTCTAAAAAATACGTTCGAAGGATGCGCGTCGTTCGGTATCCACAAGATAAAATCTAGCGTTACTTCATGAGCTGCGGGTGATTCTTTATGGCGTGGGGAATCCGCGCATAAACGCCTTTTATCTCTCCTTTTGGCAACTTCGCAATATTTTTTCTCCTCGAAAGTGCAAGCGCTGACAGCCGAACTTCCTTGCAGGAACCCACTGTTTAATCGCGCCACAGAATTCCAAACTGAGAAGTTGATACACCTGTAGATAACTTACTTTTTCATAAACAGCACTGCTAAAATTAGTTATTATCATCCCGAAGTGAATTTATATAGTTCCATAACTGAAAATTTTAGAAATAATTATCTTACAAGCAAAAAATTACAAAACAGCTAAGTTTTTTATTTTATTTGCTTTGAATTTTTTGACACATAAAAATTTTAATTAAAAATTGATTGCTTTATATTTTTAAATTATTTTAATATTTATTAATATCAAATAACTCATTTTTTGGTTAAATTATTGATGAAGGGGAAACACTTTATCAACCGTTTATTCGTGCCAAATCCCCCACTCAGTGTTCTCGCTCTTCTCCACAAAAATCTCGCGCGTGGGCGGTCCTCTCGTAGGTGGAGTCGTTTTTGCGTGCACGCGAGTGCATTGTCTCTTATTGTCCACCGGATCGGCGTATCCACTTTCCAAAACTCTCGAGTACGCGCAGCGTGCAGGTTGGGTTTCTCGTTTTAGACGTCGCGGCGACCGCTATTGTTCGTTATCTCCCTACACATCTGCATGTGCTTTCCAAAAGGCTTAGAACTAACGGCGATTATATTATTCACGTTTTCCTCCTACGATCCGCTAATGTGTCTTCGTCGCTACTTGGATCCTCGTATCGTAGGCAGCGATCTGTTGGAGAAACAGTCAGGGCTTTCGATGATGAGAGCGTCGAGTCGCCATAAATGGACTCATCTTCCAAGAAATCGATATCTCTTATCGAACAATAAACTCTTAAACAGTTGTTAATTATTCTGATAACAATTATGATAATGAAACTTAGTGCGCGTTAATTCATGTTGCATCAAGATTAGCTAGTCATAATTTCTACTTTTTAATATATATAATTTTAAATAATCTTTTTTAATCAATATTGTTAAAATTACATAAATAAAAATTATATCAACAATTCTATCTTTTGCGCAATTGTCAGTAACAAACATGCACGTCTAGCCAATCTTGAGTTTCAACACGCGCGGGTTCGCAAAATTTACTCATTGTGAATTTACGCAAGCTGATACACCGAATCTTAAGGAGTGACATATACTTACGCATCTTTAAATTTCTTCTTCCCAAAAATAATGAAAAACGATAGTGTTGAAAAATGCGCGTCCGAGAGATTTATTAGCAGGTGTTAATGCGAGAAAATTCGTTGCGATTGTAAGAATTTACGTTGTTAAGAAGAAACGTTGCTGTTATATAAATCTTTGCGTTGCATAAAAGTACAAAGAGAGAACACAAAGATACTAGAACGAGCAGATAACAAAATATAACTCTTGCGTTAATATATTTTGTTCAAATCTCTATATATTTTACAATCAGGATTGTAAAACAGTCAAGATTTGAAAAATATTTTCGCATGTCAAAAAGCATTTATTAATGCATGCGCAACAATTAGATAATAACAATAAATCTCGAGCTGAACGCCTGGGTGTACCGAAGTGGGTGGCGATTACCGTCTTCGCAGCTGCAGCTACTTGTATTTTTCTGCGGCACGTTACCTCTCCTCTCACTATCTTCCTCCCGCTCGCTCCTTCTTCTTCGATCATTCATCTCCGAGTCCATTAGAAGCAACCCGACTCGCGTTATCGCTCGTATCAGAAAGTACGAGCACGTGTGTATCGGCGGCTCCTCAATCTCCCGCCTTTTCCATCCAAGTGAAGCTGGATCGCTCGCTTTGTGCCGGGAGGATTTCCGCTCATAGATCACTGTATAAATAATAATAGTACGATAATTGTGATATATCGTGATGTGTTACTGAGCACTCCGTTACACTGCAGGCTGAAAGGAAGATGTATGCAGCGCAAGGTGTATCTCTCTGCATCTCTATAACACAGAAATGCGCGTTCTACTTTTATTCTTTTTCTTGTTGCGCAAAGTACAAATCTTTGTTTGTTCAAAACGTAAAGTAATCGCGTCGACATTAATTTTTTTTTTGCAAAAGAACGGTATATTCAGGTATCCGTCATCGAGCGTATTGAGTTATCTATCAGGCAACATATCTTAACGACGTTGACACTACGCCGGCGAACGAATGCCACACACCTCGTGACGGTTAACGTTAACGACTTAGCGATCGTACGGGCCGATAACCGGTGCGATCCAGAAAAGGGCAATTATCGCGGTATAGAGAAAGAGCGGCGCGAGGCGGGCGAGGCGAGGCGCCAAGTCGTGAGCTAGTTGTTAAGTGATTCCGATAACCTCTCAATCGGGAGACTCTCCGAGCGACCGGGAAGAAAAATCGCCGCCGAGATCGGCCCGTCGCCGCCTTCGCCAACGCGGTGCCGTGGAATAATTAACGGTGGTCCAGGCGACCTGGATCGGCCAAACGTATCTCTTCTTCATCCTCGTGGCTTCTCCTCCGTCTCGCCCCGCTATGCCCCCGCGACACGACGTTAACGGTACGAAAGATCAAGCAATCTAGAGATTTAATAGAAAATCTTTACGCCACATAGATTTTATTAAGATTCACAGCGAGATTAAAAAAGATTTGCATATTTCTTTCATAATATAATTAGTTATGAATTTATACAGATTTAATTTCAGTGTGCTTATTGCTTTTGTTGCGAATAGATTGCTTAATATACGATAAGCGAAAAATGGCGATTCTCATGGATAATCAGTTGACTTTAAGACAGTTGCTGAGAGCATTTATCAAATTTATAATAAATAAATAACTGTCGCGGCGTGAATTGGAACGCGTATCGTATTCTTTTCACAACCAACACTGCATACAAGCATCTGAAAAATCGTAATTGCCATAACTTACGGCGATTATTTATTAATCTGTCCGCCTTTTTTTCAAATCGTAAGCTGGTACTCTTTTATTTATATACCTAATATATATAATATTTATATAGTATTTTATTTATATATTTTTCTTTATAGTGACTGCGGTCGAATGTAAATTTCTGTCGAATTTTATCTCGGAGCACGCGATGACTTTGTTTTTGTTTTCTCGCAGCAGGCCGTAATTGTAAGTCAGGCAGGGAGCTCGTGCGCCGCCCGATTTTACAATGTAATATATTTTTGAATTCACGAGGACGCGGGCGCGTAACTGGTAGAAAAGGACCAAGTCGGGTGGCTGCTCGTCATCAAGAGCCTCCCCTCCAAACGATTGCGAGCAAAGAACCGTGACGGTAGTCGGCTCCCCGCAGATTTGTGGTTGCCTGATTGAAATAAACAGCCCCGCAGCATTCTCCGTCCGTGATCGTCGTTCCAGATCGCCTTATGGCTATCCTCCGGCTTCCTTATGGCGATAATAAGTTATGCCGCTGTGGAATATTGTCAAAAAAATACGAGTTTGCGGGTCGAAAAAATGGCGAGCGGATTAATAAATAATCGCCGCGTGTTGTGGCGATCGCGATTTTTCAGGTGCTCGTATGCAATACATTGTGACGAGAGTGCGATATGCGTTCCGCTTCGCACGTACCGCTCGCGTCACGGTGAAGCACGTTCATTCGCAAGCATTATCGCGGTGTAACAAAGTAACGCGAGGAGAAATAAAGTGCATTATCCAATTTCACGTTTTGAGCCGTCCTGAGCCGTCGTTTGACCAATCGTCCAGCTTCCTGAAGACCTTGCGAGACGCGCCGGAACGCTGGAACAGGACGCTCTCGGTGTCGGATTTCGTGTTTACTTTGTTTATGAGCGGCACGGATATTAGCGCCTTCGCGAGAAACTCTCGTGTTACCGATCTCCGCGGCCGTCACAGCCTTCGCCACATCGTCGTCGGCAATCGTGTAAAAACAATTAAAAGAAGCAAAGTCATTAAAAATGCGATCTCAGAGCAAGCCGTGTCCCCTTAAGGTCTCTCTCTCTCTCGCGTTTCCTTTCTCTCGAACGACAGATTGCCAAGGCGCAGCCTTGCGCAGCTGCGCCGCGACTTTAATGTAAAAGACACCACAAATTTTAATTATAATTATAATTAAGAATTTATGGTGGTGTAAATTTCCCCTTCTCCTTCCCACCCGTTAATTTTTAGCGCAGTTAACAACGTGATATACTGTTACTCACGCGAGATGCATCATATCTTCGTTGCAATAAACACAATATTAAAATTAAACCACTATAAATTTTAATTCGTAATTACGAGGAACGCAATGAAGCGTTTTACGGCTATTTAAGCGGCGTCTATTTAACTTTCGAATCGTCCGCTCAATGTTCCATAAAAATCGTCGATTCCCGCTTGAGACTGCGCCGCTAGGTACGACGCGGTATCCAATCATCCGACGAATTTCGCTCGTAGCGTTACAAACGAATCGCCGCGGCAGACGCTCTTGTCCGCCACCTCTCTCAAAGCCCAGCCTCCCTAAGGCATGCCTCGCTTCCGAGAGGCACTTGACTTTTAGAGGCGAACGAACGAAAGTTACTGCCCGGCCAGGACGGTTCTTTAACTTCACGCTGCTTTTACGCGGCGATACGTCAAACGACGCTGGACCACCTCGCGAAAGAGCGACGCAATCTGGTAGCAATGTTAATGCCCGGCCGTGGCATTAAAGAACGCGTCAGAC